CAGCTCTTTCATGTCTTGGAGAGTATATATCGAGATTGTTAGGTAAATTAAACTGTTATTTTTTAATTATTTTACCTATCTAATCGATTGGTCTTACTTAACTGTATGTCTATAATTAGAGATATTTCAACATCGAAGACAATCACGTAGGGTGGGATTTTTTGTTTGGATACATGGAAAAATTCAAGCATGCTCTTCGAGAGTGGAGACATGAGATAAAGAAGAAATGTTTTGAAAGTTACAGTGTGAACTGGGAGAGGATCTACAAGCGAGATCCGAGGATTGGCCCAGATCATTTAGCTGCACTTATAGTATTATGGGGTCAGGAGGATCACCAAGTAAATATATATAAATGCATAATTTTCAAGGAAACCAAAAGCTTTAAGCTAGTACAGATGATTAGTTAGATGCCATTTGAATATTTAAATTGAGTTTATGCTTATAAAGCAAAGAAATTTAAAAAAAATAGGTTATTACTGTGCAAATGTTGTTATATTAATAGAAATTGCATACCAAAAAATTATTTATCTGAATATAGTGCTATATTTCGTTGTATATTATAGATTGTACTAAAATTCTTTGTTATTATTGAAGAAAAAATGTCAGAGAAATCAACAAAACCAATTGAGGAAAGATTATGATCATCATACGGGGACTACTTCATTTGCCCAGAATGAGGATCAATTTTGTAGGACAACAGTATAAAATATTTTAATCTTCTATATATATTCTCTCTGTTTCCAATAATATTTGATAAATGAAACTAATAAATAAATTTATAAATCTCAGAACGCCCCATTTATCTCGCTTCACGAACTGCATAAGAGGACGATGGTTTACTTTAAGAAGGGGTATGATGACGATGAGGAGAAGAAGAAAAAGCTACAACTAGCCCAAAATATGCAAGTAGTTTAATGGTGTATTTACTTTCACTCTATCCGAATGAATTACATAATACTAAAACTAATCTTGAAGGTTTACATTATCTTTATTATTGAAATGCCAATTCGTATATTCATCTTTTTTGTCTCTTAGAAAGCATTAGAAAACACATATGTTGAGGTTGTTGAACAAAGCCAGGAGCCCCTAACTGGAGAGGAGAATTATATTGTGAGCCATTTAGTTTGTGGACTTCCCAAAAATGGGAGGATCAGGTGGATGGAAGTGGGAACTCGGAGGTTGTTTACACCATTCCAGCCTCCGTCGATCTCAACACCATCGACGATGCCCTCAGGGGTACCCTCTTATATGCCGCAGGAGGACTACACTCAGCAGGCAATGCAACTTGTTACATCAGTGATGAATATTTTGGATGGTCATATTGCCGAGTTGTGGAAGGATATTCAAGAGGAGCTTATGCGAGTGATCCACCCTACTGCTACTTCTGCGATGGTTTCCAGACAAATAATGAAATCTTGAAGACGTCGGATTCCTACTCGATTGCAAACGCAGATTATGAACTTTTTGGCCTCTCAAAAGGCATTTACCGATAACGAAGAGAGTAATAGACATGTATACTTATTTATATACGTAAAACATGATTATACACACAAGATTAAATGCGTAAGTCTAAATTTAGATTATTTTGTTTTTAGAATGAAGATGATGTCATTGGGGGCACGAGTCGGGGGGATGGAGCCGTCGGTGGCAATGTGGATGATGGCAATGCGGATGACCTGACTTAGTGAGTTTTTATTTTTATTTTTATTTTATTTTTTTTGTATCTTAAACATCTTTATATGGAAGATTATGATATGTTTGTATGCTTTATATCCACAAACTCTTATTTATTGAAACTGTGAGATATATGTGGGTATGGATATGGATCTTTTATGGATGCTTGTTTATGTGGGTATGTATGTGCGTACGATATATGTGGATATAGATATTTTATGAGATGTATAGGAAATTATCATATTATTTTTTGCGGATTGTTATTTGTGAAGTTTGGATTGTGAAAATTTTGAATGTAGGGTGTGGATATATGTGAGATGTTAGTTATGAAATGTGAAATTTGAATGTATGTGAGTTAAATGTTTGTGAATTTTGAATTGTTAAAATTTCGAATGTAGTGTGTGGATGTATGGGAGATACTAATTATGGAAAGTGCACGAAATTTGTGAAATTTGAACGTATGCGAGATGGTTGTGGAGATTGTTGTGAAATTTGGATGCATATATTTCGAATGTAGGCAAGGATTGTATACATGAAATTTTGCATGAAATAAGCATAATTTCTTTTGCTGATTATATAACGATCCCTAACGGGCATGCCGTTAGGGATACATATCGCTGACGGTTGTCCCGTCGGGGATGTACATAATATCCCAGACGGGCTTGCCGTCAGCGTTGTTTATTCCTGATGAAAATTATACACATCCCGACGGCGTGGCCGTCAGGGATGTTTATCCCTGACGGCGTGCCCGTCAGGGATGTTTATCCCTGACGGCGTGCCCGTCAGGGATGTGATGCACATCCCCGACGGGATTGTCGTCAGCGATATTTTCACATCCCTGACGGGACCGTCGTCAGCGATATTTTCACATCTCTGACAGCGCCCGCCGTCAGGGAAGATGACGTCATTAATGCTTATTCCTGACGGCGGCCCGTCAGGGATGTTTCTTCCCTGACAGGACTTTTACTGACAGCGTATCATTGACGAGAAGCCGTCAAGGATACGTATCCCTGACGGGAAATTTAACATCCCTGACGGGAAAGCCCGTCAAAGATGCCCATTTTTTTACTAGTGGATATAGGCTTAGGATGGTTAACTAAACTATTTAATAAAATTATTAAGATGAAAAGAATATTGGATAAGTGTAGGATTAGTACTTTGATACCGACATATAAAAATAAAAGGGATATACAAAGTTAATCAAATTATCGAGGTATAAAATTCATGAGTCATACTATAAAACTTTGGGAGAGGGTAATTGAGCAAAGACTAAGAAAAGAGACATGTATATCTAAAAAACAATTTGATTTTATGTCTGGGAGATCAACTATGAAACCTATACATATTTTGAGATGGTTGATGGAGAGATATAGAGATAAGAGAAATGATTTACATATGATTTTTATCGGTCTAGAGAAAGCTTATAATAGAGTACCTAGAGAGGTAATGTCGTGGATGTTAGAAAAGAAACATGTATCTAGTATATATATTGATGTGATTAAAGAAATGTATGATAGAGTAACAACTACAGTAAGAACTAATGAAGGAGAGACTAAACTATTTCCTATTACCATAGATTTACACTAATGTCAGCGTTAAGTTTTTATCTTTTTACATTAGTTATGGACCAACTTACTAAGCATATTCAGGATAAAATCACATGGTGCATGTTATTTGCTGCTAATATAGTATTAGTTGATGAAACTAGAAGATGCATTATTTCTAAAGTAGAAAGATAGATATAAGATCTCGAGTCTAAAGGTTTTAGAATTAGTAGAACAAAACAGAATATATTGAATGAATTTTTAGTAAAACTAAGAAAGAAAGATAGTCTATAGTACATATCGATGGCCAAAAAATAACTAAAACTAATCATTTTCACTATTTAGAATCTATCATTAGACATGATCTTGAGATAGAGGATGATGTTGTGCATCAAATCAAATCGGGATGGTTGAGATGGAGGAGTGCTTGGGAGTCTTATGTGATCATAGATTACTAATGAAACTAAAAGGAAAATTCTATATGACGGTTATAAGACCAACTACGCTTTATGGATCAAAATGTTGGACAATTAAAAAACATGTTTAAAAAATGAGTGTAGCAAAAATGAGAATGTTGTGATGGTCTTGTGGGTATACATTAAAAGATAGAATAAGAAATCAGTACATCCGTAATAAATTAGAGTTTGCGCCTATTGAGGATAAAATGAGAAAGAATAAATTAAAATGGTTTGGTTATGTACAACAGAAACCCCTTAGTGTACTGATTAGAAAAAGTGATAATATTAGTGTTAATGGGGCTAGGAGATCTAGAGGATAACCTAGAATGACATGATTAGAAGCAATTAAGAAAGATATGATTAAGACTAACTTAACGGAGGAAATGACCCGTAATAAAATAAAATGGAAAAATAGGATTCATGTAGCCAATCTTAAACATTTGGGATAAAGACTTGGTGGTGATTGTTGTTGTATCTCATATTAACAACTACATTTTTAAAACAACTACGATATTTTTAAGTAAAGATAAAGTAATAGGTTTGTCAGTCTGGTTCACGAACAATGGTAGCCTAGTTAGAGAAAGATAAGCTCATAAAGCATCAAATATGATAAGAAGAGGATTCCTCATAACACATAACAAAAGTCTACATTAATAGCTATGTGATGAAACTTCCACACTGGAAAATGGCCCAACCAAAAGGATCACATGAATGCAGCATTGAGATAAAAGCAAATGGAATAGGTACTCCTCGAATATTATCACGCCACTTCTTATTCCAACTTCTCTCCATCATCCTTTGTCCCAATGAGAACTCAAAATGATTTTCTTGGAATCCTTGTTCTTGGCTCGGTTGGTCAACCTCGCCAGTCGCCCTTGACAAATGTGCAGGGGCTCGAGGAAACTATCTACTCACCAGTGTCCTCCAGTGTCTACAAACAATTTCATATAGCTTCAAATCCATATTATCTTCCTAATGATATTCAGTGTTTGGCTCCAGGAAACTATCTACTCACGAGTGTCCTCCAGTGTCTAGAAACAGTTTCATATAGCTTCAAATCTATATTATGTCCCTAATGATATTCAGTGTTTTTTTATTAAGAGGGAAAAGGGGAAAAGGAACTCAAATAGATCACAGTGAATTTTCAAAACCTAATTGGCACATACAGAATAATGGAAATTTCAATTGGTAACTAAATTGCACCAACCAGTCACAGTAATAAATAATGCAACAATCTGACTACCAAAGATATTCACAATTTTACACAGAAATATATAAAATAACAAAAAAAAAATTCTCAAAAGCACAAGAAAATTTCGCCTACCATGAATTCACATTCAATGTAGGGATCAGCTACCACCTTGCAACTCTCCTAAACAATAGAAAAACAAGCCAAAATTAGCAATTTAATAATTGATCGAATATTCAATTTGTCAGCATCTAAAGAACAAGAGAAGGGAGAATATTTACACATTTCATCAACCGAATATTTCCAGGTGAGTACTGCACAAAGAGCCTCTCAATTCCCCATCCGCAGTTTACACAGCGCAGATCCAACACTTGCTCTCCATTGGGATTCATCCCCACTTTCAGTCCAAACTTTACACTTTAGACCCTAGAGAGGAAGAGAGGGAATATCTCGAGGAGCTCGATAGAAGATAAATTCCTAAAAAGGACATAACCCTAAGGCGGTCGAGGTAGCACATAATATCAATGAACTTATCAAAATAACTTAGCATGAATATATATGTGATCACAATATAACATGAGCTTGTAAAAATAACATGAGCTTATATAAAATGATTGAAAAGAACACAATATAAAGTCATCACATTTCCGATATATAAAGGTTACCAAAACATCAAACATTACGTGTATGTTCTTACAAAAGTTTGAAATGATTAATGGAAAATTTTTACGTGACAACAACGACAAAAAAATTATCCTATAATTATTTAAAATCAAATGATTAAGATTATTTGTTTATAATATAATTTATATTCTTAATTGCTTAAAATATAAAATATAATTCCTAATTAAGACCTAATAATTAGAGTTGTGAGGAAGCCTGTTATCTTTTAAGGATGTAACAATTAAATCATAATTTCAACCTAATAGCCAAAAAATCCGATTTAACTATTCAATTATTCAACTACACGTAATAAAAAAATTCCAAATTTAATTAGTCATAAAATTTTCATATTTAATAAAATAGTTGATATTTTTTACAAACTAATTAATAATCCTTAATTGATTAGAACTTCTAATGTGATTATAAATTACAAAACTATGGAAACATGTAGAGAAATACATCAATGACAAGGGGGGAAATAACATAGATTAAGGAATCTATTTACGAGAGTGAAATTAGAGCTCAATAAATGATGAAAATGCGAAAATAATTAGCAAAAAAATTATTAACCGAGAAAATAAAGGTACCTGAGGTCATGGATGGCGCCGGAGGAGTTGATCAAGTCGGAGAAGATGACAAAGGTGGAGACGATGCGCCGGAGGGGAAGAGGACCAGAGAGGGGCAGAGAAATAAAAAAGAGGGAGAGACAGAGAGAGGCGGAGAAAAAATTAGGGCCTCGAGAAGAGACGGGGCCAAATCTCAGCCGTTGGTTTCATGTGATACCGGGTATATCTCAGCATTGATTTAATGTGACATGGGTGGAATTATGTCTGTAGCAGTCGGGGTTCAAGTACAGGCACGATTTAGTCAGAGATGTCTTGTATGATATCCTCCATAGAGCAGGGATCTCATCATAGAAGGAAGCGTCGGTTAACTTCCTCACTCCTCCTGAAGAGGCTAGATCTACTCTATAAGGCCGGCAAACGTTCTTGGCTACAACTGGAGCAGGGGGGAACACGCTTGTGTTGATCTCACAGGTAGGGCTGGGCAAAAACCGAAAAAAACCAGTTCAACCGAAAATACCACCCGAAAAAACGGACCGGTTAACCGAACCGAATTAAATGAATGAGAAGAAGTCTCTAAACCGCACGAACCGAATTAAATCGGTTTGGATCCGGTTTGAACCCCTGAACCGCCCAAAAAAAAACCGACCCGAATTTTGTTGGGCGGTTTAGAGACTAAACTTATACCTCAAAACTTTTCATGTTATCATCCAATAGATTCAAACGGCGCAAGGAGCAGTTTCAAGCAATGAGTACAGCAATATCACAGAAAAATATCCTTGAGAACTAAGTAAAGTTTCAAATCAATCCAGAAAATTTGTTATGCACATGATGCACTTACAAAAGATGCTATGCTACATTATATAAACAATATCATACAAAACATCACTCCCGGTGTAATTAAATAAACTTAAACTTTAGTTAAAAAATTTCGCAGAAAAGATCTTGAGAATTACATATGATTCAAATCAATCACAAAATGTGTTATGTACATGATACTTACAAGAGATAAGCATGCTGTATTATATGAACAACATCTTTAAAACATCAGTTTTCTGCGTAATTATACCAATCCAAAACTTTATTCTAAAGATGATAACCAGTCTAATAAAGCTTTGTTGGCGAGCTCAGGAACCTCATCATGAGGACAATGCCCAGCTTGCAAATTTACAACAGAAGTCTTTGGATAGAACTCTTTGCAAATTCAAAACCGAAATCGAACCGAACCGAACCGAATTTCGGTTGGGCCGAATATTCAGATGAAGGGAAAAAATCTGGATCTGGATGAGAGTTTTGAGCATCCGAAAAATTTGGATTGGATGCGGATTGGGCATAAAACCGAACCGAACCGAATATGCCCAGCCCTACTCACAGGGGTGTCTCCGTTGGTGGGGTTTGGTAATAGAGAGTTCAAGGTTGGGTATGCATCGGATAGAGTAGTAGAGGCAAAGGTGGGCAAACATGATCAAGCTTGTAAGGACAACCACCACCACTTCATCCCGTTCGCTTTCGATACGTTTGGTTTCCTTGCAGCTGATGCAGCGGGGTTCCTCAGGAGGGTACAGAAATTCATGAATAAGAATGTGGCGACAGCAGGATCTGCTGAGTACGTGTTTCGTAGGTTGAGTTTTACAATTGAGAAAGGATTAGTGGCGCAGCTTGTTGCCCGCTTGTCATCATCACATGTGTAATATTTTATTCTTAATAAATTAAATTATGTCACTATATTGTAAAGACTAGTTAGATTGCACATGCAATGCAGAGATCTCATCATAGAAGGAAGCGCCCGTTAACTTCCTCACTCCTCCTGGAGAGGCTAGATCTACTCTAAGGCCGGCAGACGTTCTTGTCTACAATTAGAGCTGGGGGGGAGCACGCTTGTGTTGTTCTCACAGGGGTGTCTCCGTTGGTGGGGTTTGGTAATGAAGAGTTCAAGATTAGGTATGCAGTGGATAGAATATTAGAGGCAAAGGTGGGCAAACATGATCAAGCTTGTAAGGACAACCACCACTACTTCATCCCGTTCGCTTTCGATACGTTTGGTTTCCTTGCAGCTGATGCGGCGGAGTTCCTCAAGAGAGTACAGAAATTCATGAATAAGAATGTGGCGACAGCAGTGTCCGCTAAGTACGTGTTTCGTAGGTTGGGTTTTACAATTCAGAAAGGATTAGTGGCGCAGCTTATTGCCCGCTTGTCATCATCACATGTGTAATATTTTATTCTTAATAAATTAAATTATGTTACTATATTGTAAAGACTAGTTAGATTGCACGTGCAATGCACGTGGTTGAATATCATGGTTATTAAAATTAACAAAAATAGAATAAAAATAAAAAAGGAAATAAAGTTTTTTGCGAGATTGATCATCAACTCAATAAACTCTCTTTTAAATAAAATATTGTCATTGTTTCCATCAATCGAGACTATCGCCAAGTGATCTACTATTTGTGAGTTATAAACATATTGATCTAGTATATCTTTGTTTATTTTCAAAAGTGTAATTTAAGCCCACAATTTTTAAACCAACATTGATCTACTATATGCTAATATTTTTAAAAAATTGTTCTTTTAAAAAATCTCCTAAAATAAACTATTAATTTAAAATATAAAATGAGCGAAAAGACCTAAACATTCTAGTGATTAATTAAAAATAAAAGTATATTTAAATTGAATCTAACAAGACACTTCACAGAATGAAGTATGAAATGGATCCAATAAAATATTAAAAAAGAATTAAAGAAACTAATTTAAAAATTATAAGATCTATGGATAGAGGGAGAGAAGACCTCACTGACATGAATTCTATTTCTCTCTGAGCGTGACAGCGAAATTGGTGGAGAATGAGCAAGAAGAAAAGTTAACAGAATAGATGACAAAGTGGATGTGCTTATATAAATAGGTTATTAAGATATTCGTCCTAAAATCTTAAATACATACATGTTAGTCCCTAACATCTTTGTAATTGTTCATTTACAATGATATTACTATTCAGTATTAAATCAATCTTATTATATAAGATTATATACCTTTTTTAATAAATTATAAAGTATATATATGGAAGCCTCAATACTTATAGCCAGTAGTTGGGCTCCACAAAATAGGTTAACTTTACATTGTAGTTTGCAATTGGTAATGTTGTTGGTAATGTCATTACCTTTCCTCTTTATCTTATTATTCACACTTAAGCAAAAAATAGGAATTCAAATTGTATTATCATGTAGGTAAATAAATAAATGTTATTAAAGCTCCTCTTTATATTAAATTTAAATTATTAAGTGCCAAATATTAGTTCATGTGAGAAAGTAAAGTAATATATGGTTTATATACCTAAATAGTCAATTGATTAAACATATTAAAATTATAATGATCACAGTTAAAATTATATGGTGTGTTCATATTAAATATAATTTATAAATAATAGTACATTAAAGTCAAAAACTTTTAACCACTATATAGATTGTTTGAATTTTTTTACATGTATAAACTGTATTACCTAGGAATAGTAATGTGCACACTTAACTATAGTCTAATACATCTTAAGAACGACTTACTCTTTAATATCATCATTAATTGATGTATCTATGCATTACACTAAAAACACAATAAAAATTTAGAAAACAACAAAAGAAACACCCTCAAAAGTTTTAATTTTTTTAAAAACAAACACCCTAAACTTTTATAATTTCAAATACACAAAACTATTCAAAATTATATTAAGATCAAGGAACTACAAAAAATCACTGAAATTTTTCAAACTTTAGAGGGGTAATTTGCAATGTACTAAACTTTAACTTTGTTTTTTTTTTCAAATCTAATAGATTTTTAATTAGTTATATTCTTTTTTAAAAAGTTAAGGGTAATATTGACCCTGAAAAATTTTTTCTAAACCTATACTTTTAAAGGGTGTATGATATTTTTTTATAACTTTTTTATTTTCTACGGATTGCTAGTAATTTTGTATATTCATTTTAGTGTCTACATGTTAGAAATTCTCATAGGTTTTTTTATAAATTATGAATATTAGGTGTAATGACCATAATTTTTTGATATTTATTTGAATAATTTTTTTGATATTTTAAATATTAAATTATTATTTTTAAAAAAGAGTATTTATATTTTCCCCAATTTTTTATAATTTTCTATGATTTAAAACCCCGACTTTATATTTAATGGTTCTACTAATTATAAATTTAATTGTTACGGTAAAAACTTTTTAAATTAATATTTGGTTATTTATTATTGCTATTGTTATTATTATTATTATTATTATTATCATCATCATCATCATCTTGTATTAATATTTAGCCTGCACCCCTTATCCCCCTACCTCTATATATGACTGTTAGCAAATCAGCACGTCAGTCAATCAGTTTTCTGGCTGTTCCCTCTCCCCTATGTCACGCCCCGCTTCCTAAAATACCAGGGAATCGGGACGCGAGCAAGCCCGCGACGTATTAGACTGAGGAGAGATAAGTGCTGGACCCCGTCTTCTCAATCTAATACGCTAAGCGTCTGAAAATAAAACAATGCGAAGTCACAGGTCCCCGATCACAATAGCAAGAATATAAAGACAACCCAGAACAAGGAAATATCATATCATAAATGGGATAACATCCGAGACATAAAATACGGGTCAAACATGCCCTTATACAAATCTGAACAAATGAATACTAAAGAGATACAAAATACACTGATCAAATAGAAATGGAATGTAGTACAAAAGAAAACTGAGGACCAATAACTAAATTTTGGCTTCTTCTTCTGCTCCATCCGCTAGGCACTCCTGCTGAGAATCCTCTAGCTCCTGATGATTTCCCACCTGAACCTGTTCTTCCTCTAAGTCTGACGTACACCAGAGAAAACAGGTGTACGTCAGGTGCATGGCGCACGGCAAGACCCCACAAAAGAAAATAGAACGAACGGAAATTTAATGCGAAAAACGATACGATAACAGAAACAACGAAAAAAACGTACAACTGAAATCCACAAATCAACATGAAAACACTACTAAATCATGATAACATAAAGCATCCAAAATCAATCAGGTAACGAGGTCATGCAGCTAGCGATCAGTCTAATCATCCAAGCAACAAGATCATACAATAGATGGAATTAATACTTAAACATCCACAACAAGAGACGTAGTACGTCGAGCGACATAATCC